GTTGCTTTATATTGTAACTGGACAGTCACATTAATTACTGCCAACCATGATTGGTGGAAGCTTTAGAGATCTGCAGACAGTACACATGGGGCGGTGGGTGGGTGTGGGGATCTTTGACATAATTTTGATTTAACTCTCGGGAGTTCGTAATCATATTTTACAACAATAAGAATGGCGCCCTGGAATAACGATGACATTCAGACTGTTAAACAAACATGCAGATAAAAAGTACTTTAAAAGCATCAGTCGTTTAAAGATTTATTATAACATTATAATAACAAAATGAAGCGAGCCTGAGGGTAATACATTTCACATTTAATTTCTACAAACCAGCATAATCCTCACACTTTATTCACGACGATTAATAACCTTGTCAGCACTCCACAAAAATAACACAACTGCCTCGTCCCAGCTAAATAAGATCACTTCCTTACTTTCTTTATCATTCTGTAATAAGATAAAAAAAACATCACAGCTCATAAGACTTCTCCCGCAACACATCAAGGATCCTCATTTGAATACAGCTTTTTTCCATTATCACTACTGGACACAGTGAGGATGCATCATGCCCTCCACCCTCTGTCCACTACATTTTTGAAAGGGATCCCGGATGCCTTCGCTTATTTGTCAGATGTTTTATTTTATCACATGAGTCATGGTCACATGATGTGTGTTTCCAGGCGTGTTTTTATGGACATAAAGAAGAAACATTTCCAAGATCAGAAGTCTCATAATTGCAGCAGCCAGTTTATTGACCGACTCCAGGAGATCCTTTCCTATACTTTCAGTTTTAGTATCACTGCACTGGCTGCCCTATAAATTTAGAATACATTTTAAAGTTTTATTAATTACCCAAAGCCATTCATGACCCTGCTCCAGAGTAAAGAGCCAGTAACTCCCCACGGTGGAGTCAGGCCCTGAAGATCAGCTCGTCAAAAACTTTTAGATGTCCCGTTGTAAACCAAGGGTGACTGCATTTACAGTTACGGCCCCTTGTCTCTGCAACAACCTTCCTTCAGTGTGCGACCGACACACACACAGCAGCTTTTAAGACCCGCCTCAAAACTCAGCTTTACAACCTAATGTTTCTTCTTTATTATTAATAATATCATTTCATGGTGTTTTACTTAGTTGTATCTATTCTTATCACTAAATCTAAATGCTGCATGCTTTAGTGACATGTCTGTGTTTGTTTTTATATGCTTTCCTTTTTTATAAGTGTTAAAGAGGTAGTTAGTGGTGGGGCTGTTGGCAGAGAGGTGATGCAATGGAAGCTACACTTGTTATTTATTGGCATGTTTCAAAGCAGACTTTTCCGCCTGTCAGAGCGGGAGGAGCACAGTTGTTACTGTGAACATTAAGGATGGCTCATAACGTCTCCACAGATGACGTTCTCTGGCACAAATGTCAGAATGCACCAGCAGCAGATTTCACCAAGGTTTATTTGGCTAACGTTACTCAGTGGCTCTCACATCAAGAGGCTCTGGTGGGACCTTTATTACTTATTTCAATGACACTGATACTGTGTGAACCTACATCCATGCAAACAGCCGGCTGCAGAGAACCTGTATTCATGCTACCAAGCCCCTTCCACTTCTTTAGATCTAAACACAGGCAATAAGAACAGTTGGGAGTCATCAGGAATTAGAAAGCAGTTTTGAGAAAAGCCATCTAACATGTACTTTTGTGTGACTTTGCCCATATCCCATCCACCAACATGGAGGTGGTGGGATTTATGACCTGTACTGCAGGCGGCCACCAGAGGGCGATCGAGATGATTTGGCTTTACTTTTGGGAAGCTGTTATAGCCTCCATCTTGTCTATTGTATAAATAAAATGTTTAGGTCGTCTCATTCATTTACTTTGTGACTCATCAGTTCTGTTTCCACTCACTTAAAGTGGCCAAGACAAGGTTCAGATATCACGTGTCAGTTAATGGAGAAAATGTGATTCTGAGGTTTAGAACATCAGTTATGTGCATTATTGTTTTTGCTGGAATAACATTACTATAAAAAATACAACCCCTCTCATTCATTTTACTTATAGACTTCGATATTTCTCTTTTGAGACCAACTCAAACGTCATTTCTTCCAGAGAATTAAACAGTGGAGTATGTTTCTACCAGTGTATACAATATACTGTATATACAGTGTTGTTTTCAGAGAATGGACAGGGACAAGTTGTGTCTGGTGGTGACTGATGGGGACTTTGGGTACAGTTATAAGAATCCGTCGCTCTCCTACATCTGCTGTCAGTGTTTTGGATTGAAAGCTGTGTTCGGTGCTGTTAATGGCAGCGTTAACCACCTCTCTGCCTCTCTGTCATTAGCATAGCGTAGGAGGCAGAGCTGATTGAGTGGCCATTTGGCAGTCAGAGACATTTCTTTTCAGGTTCCTTGTTACTGTTCGTGTGTTTGCACAAGAAAATCCCCTCTTTTGTGACCACAAACAGCAACTACATTATATAAAGATCTCTGTGCTTCTAAATACGTATGAAACAAATATGGACTTTAATCATATTAAGGGAGAAGTTGATTTTCACCAGAGCAGCAGTTAAAAATAAAAATAAATTTCCCCTGCTGAAAATGTTATGTCGTTAACCCCCACAATGCATTTCAGCATGAGATCTGTTCAATATGTAACAGTTCAATACACGTGACCATCTGCTGTTTGATTCAAGTGAGATTCAATTCAAATTAAATTGGGATATTATTTATTAGATTTTTTAAATTGCCTATAAATCAAAGCAGTGGTGCTAAACTTGGGGTCTGTCCTGTGTCATAGAAAACAATTAGAAACAAGAAAACATCATCTTGCTCCTCAGATACTTGACATGTAACAACTTACTTTGAATTATTGCAATATTATACTGACAATATTATTATGATGAATTGATCGTGAACTTCACAACTTTATTCTTGAAATATTTTCACTTCATTCCTTGTAGATTGTTATTTGTCTTAGGTTGTTACCACTTTCATTCTTTAAAATCAACGCGTATCTCAGAATATTCCTTATTCACAAACCTACCAAAAAAACATATTAACAGGGTAAAAACGTAGAAACATTTAGGTCATGGGTTATAGGTGGAAACTTTATTAATAATTTCTTATATATATAAAAATACACATCAACCTAATCTAGAAATAACTAGTACACCAAAAGTATTGTGAGCCTCTTCTACAGAAAGGCTAACATGACTTTTTAAAATAGAAATATGACCATTCATGACCTTTACCTTTGCTCTCACCACTGAAGGTGTTTTCCCTCCTGACAACATGTCTGATAAGTTAGAGTAATAGAACAGAATCAAGTGATCTGTGATGAACCACTGTCCTCACATCTCTCCGGAGCTGATCCAGATGTGGACCCCCCTCCCCCCCCTCCCCTCCTCCCCAATCAAATCATGGATCCACCTAAAAAAAAAACAAAAAAAAACATGGTGGTTCCTCCCTCCCTCCCTCACCCTCTGCCTCACCCTTCCCTCGGCCCCTCTCCTCCCCCCTCAGCTCCCTCCGCTCTCCGGGCAGACTGATCCGGACGTGTCGGTTCTTTTTTTTTTTTCTTCCTCCGGGTCTTGTTTGAATGAGCCGGACCCCCTCACCCTCCTCCTCCTCCTCCTCCTCCTCACCCCCGACCACCATCACTCTCTCCCCCACCACCACCACCACCACCTCTCCCAGTCCCACCCACCCCCACACACACACATACAGACACACACACACACACCAGTCACTTACTGGATCTGCTCTTTGTTATCGCAGCCTTGTGTGTGTGTGTGTTTGGGAGAAAGAAGAAGAAGAAGGAGAAGAAGGAGGGAGTTTGTTTTTTTCTCCTTTTTGACCGGATTGATTTCTGACTGAACCTGGATCTGGTTAGTTTCTCTCCGGGAGGAAGAAGCTGCTGCTGCCGCCGCTGCTGCTGCTGCTTCGGGAACCAGAGCCGACGCTGCTTCTCCCGCAGTCACACAAACTGCCCGGAACAAGGGCGACGTTAGCGAGGTTCACTCCTCTCCCCTCGCCCGGTGCCGTCTGTCAGCCTCCCCCCTGCATTTCCGTCGTCCCCTCCGCCGCCGCAGTTGTCAACTTGGAGCCGTGCTGGGAAATGGACAAACCCCTCTGAAGTGGAGCCGCTGCCCGCCTCATCAACACAGCCGTGATTCGGACGCGGATTCCCGGAGTGGAGGTAACCGCTCTACCCCCGACTGTTTCTCCTTCTTTTTTTATTTCTTTAAACTTTCCCTTTCTCTCCACATGTGGCTAAAACACCGCTGAAGTGACACATTTGCACCGGTCGTCCGCGCCGCTTAGCCGTTGGCTAACGTTCACTCGCCCGCAGCCTCCCCGCCTCGACACCGACTTTATTAGCAACTACAACCGAGGATTTTTTTTTTTCTCCCACAGGTGTGAACGCACGACCGTCGCCCTCCCTGGCACCGCCGAACCTCCATTTTTCTCCCGCCTATCGTTTCATTAATCTCAACCGTGTCTCCGCTGCCGACCGGGCACGTTTTCTACCCGTCTACCACCTCGTCAAACGTCCCGGCAGTTAGCTCGGTCATACCCGCCTCCCTGCCCGCAGTCTGCCGCTGTCAAGGCTCCATTGGAAAAACAACGTGGACGCCAACTCGCGGTCGCACTGTTCGATCATTTTTTTTGGGGGGGGGGGGAATCGATCACACTAGTAATCGATCCACATTCAGATGTTTTTAAAAAACTTTTACTCCGCGTGACACCGTGAGCTGCTTATCAGTTTGTAAAGTTGTCATTTTAGCCTCGTAGCGAGTCGGACGTGCGGTCGGATCCACGCCGAACGGAGACGCAGATTCGGTTTATTCCTGGCGTGTTGTTTAAAACGTGTGTGCATCTTCGTGTTTGCTGCGAAACGAGGAAGTGTGTTTTAAACATGTCAGATTCCGCATGGTGATTTTGCGGAGCGGCGACAGTATCGACTGTTGCGGGGGGGGGGGGGGGGGGGGGGCTGCGAGCCTGGAATCCTGCGGATGTCTGGAAACAGTTTGCTCACGGTCTCTGCCCACAGCGGCTTGTTTTCCGGGTGACATCCCCCCTGGTAACCAGTGAAAACACCCAGATCACGCGGGCTCTGGTGGCCGTGTTTGTTCTAAGGACACCGGTTGCTGCGGCTGCTCTCGTGTCTCGGCGGTGGAGCGTGTTCCCGGTGTGACTTGTCATTGACTGCGGCGGCTTCAGGATGAGCTTGCTCGGCTTGTTGGAGTGGTTTCCCCACATTTAGCAGTTTCTGTAGCACTTCTGCTTTCCACGCTGTCACAGTGACGGGCGGAAGTGAAGGAGAGGTAGGGATACAAATCTTTATCTTGCTCGTTTTTTTATTATTAAAATTTCAATTAAGGGACGTTCTGCTCGAGAAGAACCGTCCTTACGTCATCTGCCAAGATGGGCGGATGAACAGCAGCAGCAGCTCTGCTCCTTCTTTCCTCCTCTCCTCTCATTTCATCCACCTCCTCCTCCCCTCTGTGTCTGGGTGTGTCCTGCCTTATTGCGTTAGGAAGGAGGGGGGATCCCGCATCTTGGCTCATGGTTACTCCTCCTCAGCTTGTGACCTCCAAACGAGGGCATTGCTCCTTCTGTTTTCCAGGGCTGCAGATCCACCAAGCAGAGGAAGCTCTTTTGCAAATGAAATCAAACTTTGATGCCCGGTCAGAGCAGCAGGTCACATTCTTAGGTGGTGGTGATGATGGAGCAGTGGCACAGTGACTCTGTTGTTCATTCATGAGGGGGGGGAAATGGCTTCTTTTGTTTTTCCCATATTTGCTCCTGCTGTGAGTCCACAGGTTTATGATTTGCTGCAAAATCTTGCAGGGTGCTTTAGACCCATTTGAATTTAAAGGAGAAAACAAATCAGTGATGCATTGATCTAATTCATAGGACAAAAGGCTGTCAGCCTGTCCGGGCTGTACCCTGCCTGTCGCCCCAATGTCAGCCCCCCCTCCCCGACCCTTGAAGGGTAAGCGATATAGATAATGGATCGACTGTGATTTATTGGACGTGTGTGGGTGCAGAGACCTGACAGGTTCACTTAACGCCACCATGGATTCATATAATCACCACAAACTTCTTGAAAACCACCAGGTGTTTTTTGAGGCAATACAACAACATGCTTTTTTGTCTTTGTCTTCGCACGGGACAATGTATTAAAATTGACACAGTCCTATAAGGAATCCTTTATGAAACGGTTCAGCTGACGTGGTCCGTCACCCAGATCCTGATTCATGATGTCTGGTGATATAATTAGTTAATAGAGGTCTGACTGAACAGCAGCTACACTAATGGTGTTTGCTGTGCGAAATAGCACCTCTGCTGTTGTTCCCTGAAGGTTAACAGTTTAATGGAAGTGTATTTATATTTCATGAAGTTAGAGGTGGTCTTTACTCGAGGCAAGGTGGTCTCCGTGTGATTTAACTAAAGCTAAAAAAGATTAGTCGGTTGATTAAGATGCAGCAATTTTAATTATCAGTTCATCGTTAAATTAATTTCCCTCACAATTATGTTTTGGATGCAGGTCGAATAAAGCATCACATTAACATAATGACATCACATGATATGGGCATTTTTGATTAACTCAGATAATTCCCTTTTTTGCAGTCCTTCAGAGAAAGCCAGAATTAGGCTTCTTTCAAAATACATATCATTGTGAATCTAAGCTAACCATGTTTTTAAATAACTTAATGGAAAAAATCCATTGGAAACATAAACACAAAAACCTGTTCTACCTAGAATCCATTTATCCAGAGCTCATGTCTGAAAATAGCTGTAGTCAGCTGATCTCATGATTTTAAGTGAAGTGCTCATTAAACCTCTGAACCTGAATTTGTCTTCCTGCTTCTCCCAATGAAAGACCACGAGTTAACGGTTAACACGTTATACTGAGGTGTTGGTGTCATAATGAATTCACCGCGTGAACCACGAAGCTGCTGCAGGTAATCACATCACGCCGGTTTCTGGGCGTGCTGGCCACGCCCCTGCTGTTATTTTTGACTCTTAGCAGTTTTATATGTAAATTTTGAAAAATATAAATCTGCCTGGTGATAGACTGACAACCTGTCCAGGGGACTGGAGCCCTCATGATACCCTGTGTAGGATAATGGGTAGGTGCAGTAAACAAATAGATGCATGATGCCAGCTGTGGTCTACAGTGGAAATTATCATAATGAGTAATGTCTGAGGAGAGTACAGCTTTGAATCTGATGAATATCATCAGGAGGACACAGTCAGGTTTACTTAGACTGGTGATGATGATGATGATGATGATGATGATAGGACTGCAGGCAGAGACAGATGCTGACTCGGGTTGCTTCTATATTACTATGTTTTCGTTTTGAAACTAAAACCACCTCCTCCCAAACAAGTATTTAAGCTCCATCTCAGTAGTAATCCCCACCCACAGTAACACACCTGGAAATGAAAACACGTGAGCATTCATTTAAACTCTGCTCGTGTGTGGAAACAGTGACTTGTAAGGGTGGATATCAGAACAACTGGTATCTCCATCGTCTTTTGTGTGTGTTCAGTGACTGTGATCAGATCGAATGCAAACTACTCTCCACGCAGAACAGAAATGATTTTATCTCTTCTATGTTCCTGTCTCAGTTTTTTGTTAACTTCATTGTAAAGCAGTGATTTTTACTACATTTTCTTGGAGGCCTTTTCAGTTACAAGCAGAAAAGAGGAGACTGTTGAGGTCTAGTTTTTTTTATTTCTGTCTCGGTCTGGTTGCTGAAGTGTCTGGTCCAGACAGGGATGATGTGTGTTTTCCTCTCTGTCCATCACGTATAATGTGAGGAGCTGCAGTGGATTGTGGGTGACTGAGGTTGCTGTCTTAGAATAATCTGCTGATTGCTGAATGTTTGTTTCAAAATGGTATCGCCACAAAAAGCCCTTGCTCTCTGATTTTTATAAATGTTTTATTGAAATATACATCCCTTTATTGAACAGTTAAGACCAGGCCCCTGAAGTGCAGGGTAACATCCGCAGTGCATACTTTGGCTCGTTATGTGGAGGTGGTGTCGCTCTCCAAAACTGTCTGGGCAGTTAATCAGATTAAGAAATTGTTATCCAGCCACCAAATCGAAGCAGCAAACATGGACAGCGACCACTTTTTATTGCATATGTGTTTAATATGTGTGTTTGATGAGTCGACACCTGAGACGAACCTGCTCCGACAGTCAGACTGAAAGTGTGTTAGTGCGACCTCAGTGGTTCAGACCTTCAGACCCCAGATGGAGTGCAAACCCTCCGAGGCTTGATTTACAGATCACAATGACCTGAGTCACCCTGCGGCAGAAGAACGGTTTCCTCTCTCACTGCTGAACTGTGTCCAGTCTTCTGTTAGTTTAACCGTTGAATGCTGGTGATATTCATGTGGGGATCTTGTTTTGATTATATGTGAGGATTATACTAACATTTTAATAGTTGTAACATGGCTCAGCTATTAGAGTTTTCATGGGATTTGTTAAACACTGGCAGGGACACAGAATAACATTAGAATAACTATTAATAATGATTGTTGATGCTATTGTCAGTATGTTTTTGTTATTGTTTCTGTTTCTGTCTGGTGGTAATGTACATATAATAATGATAATAGACTATCAAAGATGTTATGTCTTCACCCCTGACTGTTTGTTGGTAGGTTTGTATGTTTGTTTAACTGTTAGCAAGATTACACCAGAACAACAAACAGATGAATTACCACAGAGCTCAGTGGAAGGCTGTAGATGTGGATCCAGGGATTTTCACTTTCTTTAACATTGTCTGATTGTTTTTCAAAAGTTTGGCCATTTTTCCAGGGAATTATTCATAGATGTTGATGGGAAAAAGATCAGGCAGAGAACTGATGTCTAGTAGTGTGTATAGTGTGCGGAGCTTGATTGACTTGTTTTTCTATTACCTGACTTTTTGTAGCTCAAATGATTAATCGATTGATCAAGAAAATAAAGTGCTGATCAATTGATGACTAAAATAATAATTAGTTGCAGCTCTAACATCAAAATAAGTTATGACGCAGCACATTTTTTGCAAACCCAAGAAGAACTTTTATTGATATTCTTTTCCAATGAATGAATTACCTGTAAAACCACTTCAGCAAATCAATGCAGAAATCCAGTACATCTATCACTGTCATTTGGGCTCTTACAGAGAGATTAAAAG